GACCTCAAACCTTGTGGGCGGGACTAAGTTCGGAATGGCACCCAGGCTAGATTATTTAGTGAACTGGGTGAAAATCCCGCCGGAAAGATTGACTGGGAACTCATGTCATTGAATCCGTTAGCCAGTCTCCATTCATGTTCACAAATAAACCAGAACAAACTAGACAGGCTTGGATCTTACCTGTTCCCTAAGCCTTGTTCTGTATCGTGTTTTTATTTTTACATAATGATACAAGAACAGCTTTCTCTAATAATACACCTGAAACTATAGACAGCTCTATCCTTATGTTTGTGAAGTTGATAAAACAGTTTACACTTCGGAACGACAGGCAACGTTTACTTTAAACTACAGGAAGGGAAAATTCACCCTTTTAAAATGGGCCTCATATGATTTCAAATGTCTGGATTTAACTATGTGAAAATTAACATTTATTCAACCAAACGCATGGAAACACTTTCTGGGATCAGGACTTACTTTTCCATCAGCGCCGCTCTGGTTCGGTCATCCATCCTGTTGTTCATCTCCTCCAGTTTCTTCAGTTTTTCTTGGTCTCCTTTCTCCTTCATCTTCTTGATTAGGAAGTCCAGTAGAACATGAGCGGATCCAGAGTGAACTGATCTGATCTGATGCAGCCTGACCACGTGTTGGTAGGCTTGGTCCAGCAACTGGAATTTCTCAACTGACAGTTGGTCCATTTGTTTAGAAAGATTTTCAGAAAGTTTCATCAAGTTTTGAATCGTTCCCTGATTCTGCTCTTGCTTTTGTGCTACTGTTATTTCAGAGAGCTGGACTTTTCTGGTTCTGATCACATACTTCTGGTTGTCTTTGACATGATACGATGCGGGACACTTGTTGGTGCATGAAGTACAGTTTCCATCTTTCATGACTTCACACTGTATTGGACTTAAGCCCATTTTACATCCGGGATAGTGACAGTTCTCCTCACAGACAGCACAGCAGACGGCTGCAGATGGTCCTGCTCTGATTGGTTCGGTGTCTTTGAAGGCTTCAGGAACTGTAACAGTGAGCTGCTCAGTTTTCCTTTCTTCTGTGTGTTTCTTCAGCTCTTCCAGAATAAGACGAGTATCTCTTCGTTTTAATTCGGTGAACCTGATTCTGTCTTGCAGGTTGTGGACACAGGCTGCTAATCTGGCCCTTTCTACCAACACTTCAAATGTAGAGGTCAGTTTTTTAGACTGGGTTGTTCTCAGAAACCTTGCGAATGAAACACTACCAGTCTCTGCTATTTTCCATGCTGTTTGCAACCCAAAGCGATTTTTTGGAATTCTTTGTATCTTCTGTTGGTTATTGAACGTAAAGTAACTTGGCTCACCGCTGTTGTCCTTCGAACATTCAATGTTTGCCTTCTCTAGAGCTTTAAGGACCTCGTGTGGAGGCATTCCATCAGAGTGTGTGATCAGAGCGACGGTGTTTTCTGGTCCAAACAGAGAAACCACTGAATTAAAGATGTACTGCAGTCGATCACTGACTAGATGATCAGTCGCCTTCATCACCAGACCCACTGCATGAAGGTCAGGAACTCCATCCTCTGACTGAAACAAGCTTAGTAACGTCTGACTGACTTCATCATCATGTAGGATCCCTCTGTCGTCTCCATATCCAGGAGTATCGATGATGGTCAGAGAGAACGGCAGAGTTTGATCTTCAAACCCAAAGATCTGATAGACGACCAAATCTGAGTAATGACTCTCTGACTGACTTTGCTCTTCCTCCTCCTCTACAATCTGAAACCAGACTTCATCCCCAAATCCCACTCCCATGCTAAAGTTCAGTAGAGCGTTGATCAGAGAACGTTTTTCTTTTCCTGCCTCACCTACTAAAAGGATGGTCTTATTGGGTTTGTTCCACCTTTTCTCCCCGATTGTGACTCTGGTCCAAGCTTCAAATCTGTTGGTTCTTGTTTTCAGCCGATGGACAGCAGGAGGTCCAGAGCTGACCAGAGAGCTGTTCGAGATGACAGTCATAAATTTGAATGATGGCAACAACCAGCTGTCAAAGCTGTAAAAAACATTCATAATTAGTCATTAGTCAAAGCAACCAATTTTGAAGACTTTTTGTATTGACGAGGATTTAAGTGTAGAAAATATCCCGAAGTGCTTTAGATAATAGTAATTATGATATTTGTATGTTATTGAAGGTTTTCTACAGTCTGGTAAGTAGTTTCTGCATGAAACCAACTCCACATAAGCAGTAAGTAGCTTGCCGGGGGTAGGGTGGGGGGGTGTTGTGTTAAGGGTCTGTGGAAATTAAACCAGGTAACCCCCTGGTTAAGCTTACCCCATAACAACTAGGTTACCCCTCCCTCTATATTTGTTTTCCTTGCTATTTTTTTAATTGTTACTATAATTAAAACAATCGCCTGGAAATGAATGTCAGAAATGGCAAAACATATTTTGCGTTGAGATTTTCATTATGAAACAACTCCCGTCTGTGGAATTATCTTTTTTTTCCTCTGAGTAAACAAGGTGTTCTTTCTGTGTTTTTGTTCAAAGCATTATTTGAGTCCAGGTAGTCTAGGTAGCCAAGTAGGTTTCAGGACTTTAAAACCAGGGTGATGTGCTCCATTTTTCTAGTGTTAGTGAGAACACTAACAAGAACACTTTGGATTAGTTGTAGCTGTCTGCCTGATTTTTTTGGCAGACCAGTGACGATACTCTTATAGTAAACAATGCAACTAAATGTTGAAGTATCGATGACCAAGTGAAACACTTCTAAAACCATGGAAGAGGAGTAAGAAGGCGTAAGTACGCCAAGTATGTTAATAATTACAAGTCTTTTGAACATTAACCCTTAGTTTTGCTCATCCAAATAACAAAGTGACAAAAGCACTTCTTTTTGCAACTTTGTATCATCCACCAGGTCTTTACTCTGAATTTTAAGATTAGTTTTCAGAGTTCCTATCTTATTTGGTGTTGAATACAGAACGGGTCATCATACTGGGGGGATTTTAACATCCAAGTTGACATTGAAGATGATAGCAGCCTTAAATGCTAACTTAGACATTATTGGCTTTGTTCAAAATGTGAATAGTCCCACACATTCTCATCTTCATACTTTGGACCTTGTGCTGGCAGTTGCCTTTTGTATCTCTGCTTCTTTTTCCATGTCTGCTTATGCTTCACCAGATGGCCGCTCACACTGAGCCTGGTTCTGCAGGACGTTTCTTCTTGTTAAAAGGGAGTTTTTCCTCTCCACTGTCACTTCAGGCTTGCTTGGTGTGAGGGATTGCCTTTGTTTCATGAGTTGTACAATCAATTGGTTTGACTTTGATAAAAAAAAAAACTTTTAACTAGTCTGTATGATCTGGTTGAATTGTCTCTGTAAAATGACATGTGTTATGAATCGGCACTATATGAATAAACTGAACTGAATTGAAAGAATTAGGATTTGACACCAACTAATGACCCACCTCATCAGACAGACACCAAAACAGTTTTCTCATATCACTGAGGTATAAGAACCACCATAACTGATTTTCAGGGGTAATCTTCATTCTTTTGATGCTGTAACGACATCAGCTGCAGTGCAGCAAAATTATTTACTTCTTCCCTGCTAGGCATTAATTAAATCATGTTAAAATTTATGTTTATTGGATACTTTCTGTTTCAGGGAGAAATGGTCTAGATCAGTGGCCAGTATCTATTTCTATCCTTAAATCACTAAAGAATAATAATATGAATCTTTAAGATTTCTTAATGACTTTTCTGAGACAATTAAATGCTTTTTCACATTTTCTCCGTTAAACGTTGTTGGGACATAGCCCATGATCAAGTTTTTTTTGTCATTGAGATATCCATGTTTTATCTAAACATGTTCACTGGAGAAGAGGATGCAGCTTTGCTCTTAAAACGGCTTTGAGGCCTCTCTGCATCCCCTTCTCAGCCCAACTTTCTCCACATGACACCTTCCACAGATGTGTGCCTTGTCCCTTGCTCTGCCGCCATGAGGTAATTATAGTTGAAAAATCTTTTTTTTATATATATATCTTTTTCATAGTTTTATGTTTTGTGGGGTTTTTTTGTAATTTTTTTATTTGTTGTTTCTCTGTCAAGATTCTATGTTAGTTTTTTTGTGTAATCTGGCTCTTTCACATTTTAGTGGAGATGAAGAATAAGATAAAAAAAAAATAACTAGAACTCCAGTAGAGTTCCCACAGAGGAGAGTAAAGACCTCATAGCTGTTCCCCTGTTTCCAGTGGAGCAGGAAACCCTAGTAAATGAATAAAAAGTTCAGCTGGCAGTCAGACTTTAGTTCATCAGATGAGTATCAATCACAGCGTTCATTCTGTCACCTTCAGTGGCATTAATTATTGATTTGACCTCTACATCTTCAGCATTTTTGTAGATATGGATTCAATATCAATTTTTCTCTGTAGTTATTTAAATTCATCTATTTTAGCCATACTCACTCTGTTGCCATGGTAACGCCTCAAGCCGAAATCTGAGTCAAAGCAAATCAGAAAACATGAATTTTAACTTTCCACAAGATGACATTCAAACATAAAACAGACATAACAGTTTTTAAAGTCATTCAGCAGTAGATTTAAAAAATAAAGTAAATATAGGAACATCTTACTCACATAAAATTAAACACTGGAGTATAAAGTCCAGTGTTCTGCAAGTAATTAATCACATTCATATCAGATTTTTATTTATGTTCAGGAACCTCCTATTTTTATTTGTTCCAAATGTATTTTAATTTGAATTAATTTAATTTCTGGACAAAAAGTTTCAGTTCCTCCCCGGAACATATATGGTCCCTCATTTCCAGACTGGTTCTGGAAAGAAACTTCAAACTACTTTCAAAAACGGAATAAATCAATCCTCTGGACTTTGTTTCCAAGTTTGAAGACGTTTCTCTTCCATCCAGGAAGCTTNTTCTGGGGAACAGAAGGCCAATATTCCCCTTTAATGACACCCCTTTCAGAGACATAAACAGGTATGAGGCAAACCACATTTAGACATTGAAGGTGGGAAGCTCTTTCAGAACATGCCTCATCTCAGAGCTCTAACTATTAACTCCCAATCATTACCAAACTCTTGTCCTTCACTATAACTCAGTGGATTTATCTATTTTACTATAGATTAGGAATCACTGTCAAAATTTTTGTCTGTGAAAAAATTGTCGCAGTTCACAAAATCTTTTTTCAAATTGTTGGTGTTAATTCTAAAGCAGGAATTGTTTTTACATTATGTCTGTCGACCACAGGGCTGGTTGGCTTCATGCTAAGAGACTTTTGTTCTTTTTGTTCTAAATATTGGATTATCAGTTTAGACTCAGTTATATTCAGAATCTGATTTATTATATAAACAGTGAAAAAAAAAATCTAGTTATCTGCCTCAAACATTTGAGGAATATGAAACAAAAATGGTAAAATAACAGATTTCTGAAAGGAACATTATTAAGTTTTTATCAGTTTAAACTTTTATAAACTATCTTTCTACATTATCTATATCACCACCACGGCTCTTTGCTGCAGAGATCTTACCTTTCAGTGATGGTCGGTACAAAATGTACAGCACTGAGCTCCAGAGAGAACGAGGAAGAGTCTGAATTCTTCTTTTATTCTTCACCCTGGAACAGGTGGAACCTGTTATCATGTGACTTCTAATGAACTGTGAGCTGGATCCTGCTCTGATGCGTCTTTATTCTACAATCATATCAAGAAACAACAGACTAACAAAAAAAAAAGGTCATATAAGAAATATTCTTCCTCTTAAACAGCTGATTCTCTGATTTAACACCTTCTTTAACTGCAGGTATTTAATCAATTCATATATTTATCTTTAAAATTTTCCCCAGCGAAGAATATTCCTCAAATTGGAGGAAATAAGTCAAATAAATCCACAAATCCACTATCAAGCTTTAATTAGTCTATTTAAAACTAAAGTTAGTTGCTGAAGTGTAGGGTTAGACTGGTTTGACTGTATAATGTTTCAGATTTTCAGGTGTGGCTCCAGGAATGAACAAAAGTCATCCTTCCTCAGCGCTCGACACAGAGAAGTCGAGAGAAAAACAAAAGAGAAAAATCCTGCCATTTCAGAGGGATCAGAATTACTGTTATTGCAGCAGTAAATTTATTACTGTTAAATTTTTTTTATTAAATACCTTCATTTGGGCCCAATAGTCTGATTTTTTCCTTTAGTTACTTTTTCCATTAGTTATACTGAATTATGGGAAAGTATATCTACTCACCCTAAAGTCCACTTCTTTGTAGAAAATAATCTGAGATTACATTTTTGTCAAATTTACAAATCAATATTTTTAGGCCTGCATTATTTATCTTAAAACTACCTCAATGTTGCCCTCTGGGGGTTGAACAGTTGCTTCTTTTTAATACTGGTACTAGCTTTCTTAAGCAATGCCTTGCATGCATGACCATCTCTCTGGCTGGATGTTTGTCTGTATTCATTTATTTATGGTGGAAACCAAACAGATTTCAACCTGAAGAAACAAACGGACAAAAATGCAATTAGGAAGGTTTTATTGACATGGATGAAATACGTTATTTGGCATTTGGAGTCTGGTAAAATATTTTCTTGCTGTAAATGGATATTTGCTTGGAGAAGTAATTCAGGAAAAGGATTAGAGTAGTTTTCTATTAGAGTAGTGGAATAAGCCGGAGGATGAGATAGACTGAGATTTCCCTGATAGTGAGGAGGGAGATATGCAGAGGTGGATGAAAGTTTGTCTGGTGAGCAGGAGAGAAGCTGGGCCAGAGGCTAAATGAAGGGGATCTTAAAAGATGATTGGCTAAAGAGGGGGTGTGTTTCCGATGTTGATTGGCTGGAGATTGAACGTGGCACCATCAGCAGGTGGTTCAGGTGAGGCTGATCTTCCAAATTAAATGTTCACTTAAGTTTAACTTACATGCGAGTA